TGTTGCACGTGGAGTGGTTGGTCCAGCGGTGGGACCAAGTGGACAGCATAGTCCTCGTAAGTGACACGAGAACTTGCGACATTCGCATCCTCCTCAGATGTGTAGGAGGCCGCTAGCAAGGCGGCCGGATCTGGCGGAGTGGGAGGTGGAGTCGCCTCACCTCCTGCGCTACTCAGTTTCCCGAGTTGTTGCGAGGCCGAACATCCTCCTTCTCCTTGTCCTGGCAGAGGGAGGTCTTGTGCTTGGTGCTATTGCACCAGTAGCAGCAGCCGTACCGACCACAGTACTTGTATTCGGCCTCCGTCAAGTTAAACTTGACCCATGGCGTTGGCTGTCCTGTTCCAGCCGATGATGCGGTCTTCGCCTTCCCATTGTTCCGGGACTTGTTGGTGCTTCTCGGCTGGACAGCAGCCACCTGATCTCCTTCACTTGATGCCTTGGTGGCTGCCGGGTCGTCTCCACTGTCCGATTGGACTGCAGCAAAATGCTGCTGCCGCGGACCAGTCTTTACCTTCTCCACATAGGTTGGCTGCCATGCTGATTTCTCGTGTGCAGCCGCCCTATTAGTCTTGATGATCTCCCTCGCTTTGTCGATGATCTCAGCGAAGGTTGAGTACTGCTCGCGATCACCAAGTGCCTGGCTCAGTGCAGCACATGACCTATTGTAGAACTCTCGGCGCAGATGCGTAAATGGCAAGTCCAGATCCGGCGTTGCCGCGATCTTTTGCCATTCCGTGAGCCAGTCTCATGTTGTCGTGTTGCCTTGGGTCATGGTGAAGAGGCGGTTGATCGCGAGGGAAGGCGCATCGTCGACGATGAACCTCTTCTTCCACAACCGTGTCAACTCCTCCCATGTGATCTTGTCTCGAAGATCTACCACGTCGACGCCGTGAGTGGCTGCCAGATGGGTCAACCAAGTCTGGCATGCGCCCTTTGAGTTAAGGAAAAGGGCATCGATGTATGCGTGCTTGGCGACTGACAGGATCCGAAGCTGCGTCGTGAATGCTTCCCGCCAGAGGACCGGATCCTGATGCGTGTAGTCGTCGAACTTCTCGAGTTGGAAGGTTGGCATCTTGTACAACTTAGGATTGCCCTCCGAGTTCGTCGACTGCAGCTACTGGACCTCGGTCTTCAAGGTGTGCAGCTGACTGCTGATGGTGGTAGGTGCAGCGAAAGCACTGATGTCGCCGAGCATCGCCACTACGTGGTCAACGCGTTCCTCCAGTTGGCGGCTAGAGGGTTCACTGCTGGACGTACCAGCATCTGGTCCTGGTACAAACTGTTCCAGGTCCAGTACACGGGCATTGAGTGCCTGTGTTGCATCCTCGTGGCCCTGCACTATTCGGTGGAGGTCTGCCAACTCTTGGTGCTGTTTCTCTAGTTCGGCCCGTTGGTAGCTGCAAGTATACAACAGGCGTGACACGAGCTTGGAGAGAAACTCCTTGTGTTGCTCTTCCGGTGTCGTCTCGTCGCCGTTTGGTTCAAAGTGCCAGTACTTGAGCCTTTCGATGCTGGCTGCTTCATGGCGCTGCAGCAGCTCCTGGGCTTCCTTTCGGCGTGCCCTGGTGTGTGCCTCGGCTTCGGCCTGAAGCCGCTGCCTTTCAGCTGCCGCTGCCGCCTCAGCCTGTAGGCGGGCAGCCTCGGCTGCCGCCTGGCGCTGTTCCTCGGCCTGAATGAGCGCGAGCTGAGCCCGGACCCACTGTCGGTACTCGGTGATGGACTCGTTGGCCAGTTGGCCTGGTAAGCCCAGCGCTGGTCCCGTCATGGTTGCTGACCTGGCACTGCTGACGTGCACTGCTGACGTGGCATTGCTGACGTGGCACTGTTGACGTGGCACTGCTGACGTGGCACTGTAAACAACCCGGAATGCAGACAAGGGGGTGGGTGGGAGGGAAAACGCAGGTAGGGATACCAACCCAACAATACTTTCCTCCGGCCCTGATCAACAGATAAAATAAAAAAATATAAAAATAAAATAAAAGAGGACTACTTCCCTTTTT